CTATCCAGGGAGCTTATTAACTTTGATGTCCTTACTGACATGTGTCTGTTTCGGTGTGTTGTGTCTGCATTAGGGTCCAGCCAACTGGCGGCTCTGTCACCTGTCGAGCTTTCCCGATGGAGTGGACAGTGGTGTCTGTCCCCGGCGGCAGCGGCGTTCTGAGACCCACGCTTAGGTGGCAGTTTGTGAGCAGCTGGGGGAGGGCCATTGAGGCGTGGGGCCCCGGCTCCCCGCCTGGCTCTGCCCGCACCGGAGAGCAGGAGCGAGACGGCGGGGCAGGGCGCCGCCGCTGGACCGAGTGCCGCTCCGAAGCTCTCGTGCTAAGCCGCCCTCGGCTGTAGAGAACAGACTTTGGCTGGGACGCCCTTCGTCAGTTCCCTTGGACGTCTCTGCCGGCCGCTCCCGAGCCCTCAGTCTGGGCCTCGAGGCCCCGGGACCCGGAGCTGCTTCTGCGGGGTGCGGGCAGGGTGTGTGTGTGCGGTGCCTGCAACCCTCATCCTGCCCGGGCTCAAGTGATAGAATGGCGAGGCGAATTTTAAATTGAAAATCTTCTTTTTAGATGATACCTTCAACTTCTTTTACAGCACTCTCTTTTTTTAAGTTGTTAATATGAAAATCTATAAATGTAGAGAAAATATTCAACTGGGTTTAACTTTTGACAATTTACCATATATTGGCTTTTTTGGTACAGTTAAGTTACAGAACTTCACTTTTAAATATTTCTTGTGCATTTTGACAATTATGATGTATCCAGATATGGGTTTCTTTTCGTGTATTCTACTTAAAGATTGGTGAAGTTATGTGTGTATAGACGAGTGGTTTTCGGCACATCTCGGGCATTGTTGGCCATTATTTAGATATTCTCTGGCCCTTCCTCTCCTTCCTCCCAGGGCGCCTGTTGCTGCCCAAAGCCCTCGGCATTGTTTCTGTTCCTCCCATTTTGTTTTCCTTTTCTCAGGCGGGGGCATCTCAGTTGACCTGTCTTCATGTATGCGGGTCTTTTCCTTATGCCTGTTAAACTATGCTTTTGAACCTTCAATTGACTTTTTTCCTTTCAGCTTTTATATTTTTTCAATTTTACCTATTTTATAATTTCTCTGTATTGACATTCTCAATTTGCTGAGACATCATTTCCATTATCTTTTTTTTCTTTTTTTTTTTCAGTGAAGTTCTTTGGCCATGGTCTATAGTTCTTTGAAGTTATTTAAAATTGCTCATTTAGTCCAGTCGCTCAGGGGTTCAGCATCAGCCAGTGAACCAGGAGGTCACTGTTTGGTTTCCAGTCAGGGCACAGGCCCAGGTTGTGAACTCAATTCCCAGTGGGGTCCCTGCAGGAGGCAGCCGATCAATGATTCTCACTCATCATTGATGTTTCTATCTCTTCCTCTCCCTTCCTCTCTGAAATCAATAAGAATATATATATATTTTAAAAGGAAGTTTTATGTAAACGGAATTATAATTATTACAAGTGTATTACATAAATAATATATATTGCATACAATAATCTAACGATACTGGCTTATATCCACTCCACATTTTCTTTTGAGATCCATTCAAGTTGCAGCTGTATCAATAGTTCTTTTTTGAGTGGGTAATATTGCATCATAGGAATGTACGGAATTTGTCTATTTGTTTATTGAAATACATTGGGATTGTTGCTAGTTTGGAACTATTAACAAATAAAGCTGCTGTAGAAATTCCTGTATAGTTTTCTTGGTAGAAACACGTTTCCCTTTCTCTAGAATAAATCCAAAGAATACACTAGCTGAGTTGAATATTTTTTAATTTTATAGAAACTTCCCAACTGTTTTTCCAGAGCTGCTGTACCGTTTTAAATTTTTACCTGCAACAGATGAGATTCTTTTATCCTACAACCTTGCCAAATAAATTCATTTGTTTGGCCCTGGTTGATGTCCCAGTGGTTAGAGCATTAGCCCGTGCTCTGGGTTGAGGGTTCGATTTCCAGTCAAGGCATGTACCTGGGTTACAGGGTCCATCCCTGGCTCTGATCTAAGTGTCTGTGGGAAGTAACCAATCAATGTGTGTGTCTCACATCTATGTTTCTCTCTCTCCCCCTTTTCTCCCTCCCTTCCACTCTCTGGGGGGGAAAAAAAGGAAAAAATATCTTGAGTGAGGATGGATGGATAAATAAATACATTTCCATCTTTTATGCTAGGATCCCCTTTTGTAAATGTAGTTGCTTCACACCCTTTCATGCACTCGGTGCTATAAGGTTTGTGAATTTTACTTTCACCGTCCTCATGGGTGTGGCGCTGCGTCCGGCTCTGCTCCACACGTCTCTTACCTGGCGGTGCGGAGTGTCTTTCCGGGCCATTTGCCATCTGAATAGGAATCTTTATGCCAATAACTCAACAAGTCCTCATTCTCCTTCCTTCCACCCCCAGAAATCACCATTCTACTTTCTTTTTCAATAAATTTGACTGCTGTTGGTTCCTCATACAAGTGAAATTATAGAATATTTGTCTTTTTGTGATGGGCTGATTTCACTAGCATAATGTCCACAGAATGCATCCTGTCTGATGTGGTCCCATATATTTTTCAATCTCCACTTGATTTTTTCAGCCTCTCAAAATGGTTTCCATTTATTGTGCTAATCATAGACTTAGCCAGGACAGTGGAAATTTAGCACAAGAAACATTTTCCATTTTAATGAAGCTCCGTGTATCAGGTTTCTCTTTCATGGGTTGTGCTTTTCACCTCTGTCTAGGTTTTCTTTTGTATTTTCTTATATACATTTTGCATTGAGGTTTAGACCAGGTTGAGTCTAATTTTGTATATGGTCTGAGGTTTATAGGCTGACGTTGAATTTTTTGCCTATAAATGTCCATTTAGTTTTGGTTTGAACTTAAGAGGTATCATTTTGTGTTGTTTTTTATATCCTGAATTTTCAGCAATTTTCTATATATATAAAAGCTTAAGCAACTGAACGACTGTTTGACGCATACCGACCACCAGGGGGCAGATGCTCAACGCAGGAGCTGCACACCCCCCCTCCGCGCCCTCCCCCCCCCCCCCCCCCCCCCCCCCCCCCGTGGTCAATGCGCTTCCATAGTGGGAGCTCCACTCAGCTGGCTGATGGGCACCAGATGCCAGGCTCATGGCAGGCGAGCACAGCTGCGGTGGGGCAAGCCTCTCCTGCCTCAGGCAACACTGTTGAGTGGGGGGGAATGAGCAGGAGCAGTGTGGCGCCCAGCCTGGGCTCAGGGCTCCTCCCCAGCAACTGCTGCTTCACGCACTACTACATCGCTCGGGTGATGTCAGACTGCAGGCTGGCCTGCAGGGATCAGGCAGACCAGCAATCGAACAATCCCCCAAAGAGTCCCAGATTGGAAAGAGGGTGCAGGCCAGGCTGAGGGACCCCACGAATCCATGCACCAGGCCTCTGGTAGTAATGCAAGTAGGTAAATCTTTGCAGCTATTAAATGAAATGTTCCACTTAAAAATATTTAAGCAGTTGTAATGACGTGTATGAGTTGTTCTTATAAACCTGGGAAATCAGGCTCTGGCTGGTGAAGTGCAGTGGGCGGGGCAGTACCCATGCACTGGGAGGTGCTGGTTCAGCTCTGGTCAGTGGGCTGGGCGGCGGCCCGCACACTGAAAGGTCCCTGGTTCGGTTCTGGGTCAGGACACGGGCCCAGGTTGTAGGCTCAAATCCACAGTAGATTTCATGCAGGAGGCAGCCAATCAATGTTTCCCTCTCACATTGATGTTTCTCTTTGTCTTTCCCTCTCCCTTTCTCTCTGAAATCAGTAAAAATATTTTTTTAAAAACCTGAAAAAATAGGATGTATTATACATTTTTAAACACTGTATTTGTAGCTACTTTAGATGTCTGAAGTATCTCTGGTAAAATATACAGTCAGGCCTCATTTCTCGAATGTTTCCCACCTTGAACAGTTCGGATCTCCATCATGTTGTGCACAGAAAAAATGTCTTGGTTGTCTACCAGAACTTCGGTTCTGGGCCTGACAGCCCTTTTGCTGATAGCTCAGGTGACAGAAGCACCTCACAGCAGGAGGCAAGGGGGAGAACGCTTCTGTTGCAGGTAAATGTATGGTCAGCACAACGTTAAAGCATAGGGAGGCCGCCCGGAGCTCCAGCGGGAGTGCTCACGGACACAGCACTGAGAGGGCGCAGCCGCTGTGGATGGCACAGAGGAGCAGCAGTCAGCGGTGACAGCATTTGAGGCAGCGCTATAAGACATGTTGTTTAAGGCGGGGGGGCGGGGGGGGTGATAAATTTAAGAAAAGAAGTGTTTGCTTATAGATGAAATAGTATATCGGACATGTACAGTACATAAGAAAAGTTAAAACATCATTTGGGGGTCTGGAACGCATTAATTCTATTTACATTATTTCTAAGGGGGAAAAAGAAATCGTTTTTTCAAACAAATTGGTTCTCCCAACATCCTTCCATAGCAAATTAAGTTCGAGAACTGAGGTTCCACTGTTCTGGTGCCTCTGGGTAGAGGTCTGTGTATGTGAAGTGAAGGGAAATTACTTTTAATTTGTATTATTTTCTATCTTTGCCATGTGCATGAGTTTCCTCTTTTATAAGAGAAGCTATATATGAAGTATGAATACAGTTGTAATCAATCGAAAGACCTAAAATGCATATGCATTAAGGAATTTTGGGAGGAAAATGCACAACATAATGAAAATTGGTCGTTCTTGATGACTTTGATTTCTTTACAATTGACTTGGTTTTCTAAATTCATTTTACTGCTGCTTAAATAAAATTAAATAAAATTAATTAAATTTAATAAAATTAAATTAAAAAACATGTAGGGTGGCACAAGGAGAGGTATTTTTAAAACCGCAATTCCCTTTTAAACTTTAGAGTTCAACTTTTACAATCAAGAAATATTTTAGTTTTGCTGTGTCTAATAGAAAGAATTCAATCAGTGTCCATCCTCTAAGACGTTGCAGGTTAAGGAAGTTTTCTGTTGTTTGCTACATTATCTCTGCTTTTGTGTTTCAGTGCCAAACCTAAGTCAGAAACCCACGTATCAATGGCCACTCCAGCCACCGTGTCCATGGAAACTGTGTCCAATCAGAATAATGACCAGCCCACCATTGCAGTCCCTCCCACTGCGCAGCAGCCTCCACCAGCCATTCCAGCCGTGGTCTCGGCGAGCCCCCCGTCACAGCCGGCGGCTGCGCTCTCCACCCTTCCCGGGGCCGTGCCCGTCACTCCGCCCAGCACCACCAGCGCGGCCGCGCCCTTGCCCGGCGCAGCCGCAGGTGGCAATCCCTCCTCGCTCCTGGGCCCTCCTGTGCCTGAGATAAAAGTGAAAGAAGAAGTGGAACCGATGGACATCATGAGGCCAGTTTCTGGTAAGTTCATTCCAAGGACTCGGTGTGGGCAGCTGCCCCTCCCCTTTTCTTCCCTCCTCAGTCCCAGCTGGTGTTCCTCTTCGCCAGGAATGCTGGCCCCTGCATTCTCATCTTAAATTTGCACTTTATTACTTTTTAATAAATGGAAGCTCCATTTTGCTAATTTTATAATTAATTTTATTTCTTAACCAAAATTATGAAAAAGATTAATTACGATAGCTTTTTGTCTTCTTTAATAAAATACTGCCCCAAAGAAGAAAACCTCGCCATGTAAGAGGATCAGTCGTTGCTAAGTCCTGCTATTTACAGTTTATCTCCTGCCTATTTTACACAATAAAATAAGATTTATGTTGTTGAAAATACGCTCTTGATAAACTTAATATGTGGTTTAGTAAAATCTTAAAACTATGAATTACTCCTTTTTCCTCTTCTCAACTGTAAACTCTCTGTAAGGGCAGATGACTGGAAGTTTCTTTCTGTTTGAATTTTGTTTTTTAATAATTATTTATGGATCCTGTTTTTCATAACTACAAAAGTAACTTTCAGTGATAAATTTATAAAAACAGCCAACGGTTTGGCTCAGTAGATAGAGCATCAGCCTGCGGACTGCAAGGTCCTAGGTTCGATTCCGATCGGGGCATGTGCCTTGGTTGCGGGCACATCCCCCAGAGCGGGGTGTTGCAGGAGGCGGCTGGTCGATGTTTCTCTCTCATCGATATTTCTAACGCTCTATCCCTCTCTCTTCTCTGTAAAGAATCAATAAAATATATATTTTTTTTTAAAGAAAGAAATTTATAAAACAGCCGAAACCGCTTTGGCTCGGTGGATAGAGTGTCGGCCTGCGGATTGAAGGGTCCTGGGTTCAATTCTGGTCGGGGGCATGTGCCTTGGTTGCGGGCACATCCCCAGTGGGGGATATTGAAGAGGCAGCTGATTGGTGATTCTTCTCTCATCAATGTTTTTAACTCTATCCCTCTCTCTTACTCTCTGTAAAAAAATCAATAAAAAAAAAAAAAATATATATATATATATATATATATATATATATATATATATATATATATTTTTTTTTTTTTTTTAAATTATAAAAACAGACAAAGTCCCAGTGGAAAAAGCACAACTCTTGTCATCTACCAAATGTGACAAACAGTTAAAAAAAAAAAAAAAAAAAAAAAAAGGCAGGGACAAAATAAAGGGAAAGGTAGGGCTGGAGCTGTGATATTTAAAAGACTTAAAGCAAGGCCTCCTAAGGAAGGACCTCGGTGGGGACCTGGCAGCAGGAGCGGAGCACACGGGAGCCATGTGCCCAGGCGTGGGCAGAGGCAAGGGCAGAGGAGCAGGGTGGAGACAGCGCGGCCGCTGTGAGACGTGCTGAGCTGCTAGACGCAGTGGCTCTCAGCCTTCAATGCGGCTCCCCATGTGGTGACCCCGGCCATAACGTCATTTTCGCTGCTACTCCATAACTGTAGCTTTGCTGCTGTTAGGAATCCTAATGTGAATATCCGTGTTCTCCGATGGTCTTAGGCTCTACAGCCGCGGTCCTCAGCCTGGGGGTCGCGACGTTCGGAAGGTTGACGGCTGGGCTAGAGGGTCAGCGCAGAGGAGGCTGCGTCCCTGCGTCTGCAGGCCACGGGCCGCGGTGGGAGCGAGGAGGCACCTGGGCTCCGGAGAGGTTCTTGCAGGAACTGCGGGGAGCAGCGAAGCCTCTGCCAAGGCAGTAGCACAGGAGGGCTGGAGATGCGCGGGTCAGGGGCACTTTTAAGGCGGAGCTGGGTTTCCTTCAAGATTGGCTGTTGAGGGCGGTGACGGAGCAGAGCTGCGGCAGCTGGAAGAGGCAGTGCAGGAGGACCCGTTCTGTAAGGGACTGAGGTGTGACGTGGCAGCGGGTTTTGGAGTGGGAAGTGGGCTGCAGCACAGAGAGTAGCTGTCGTTGTGTGGAAGGCCGAGTCCGGTGCGATCCCGGGAGGAAAGAGCGCAGATCACACGGGCGGGGGGGGGGGGGGGGAGGGGGGGGAGTGCCCGCGGGGTGTGCTGTCCTGGGAGCAGCAGAAATGCCTCAGGGACGGGTCATCGCTGCTGAAAGCTCAGTTAGCTTAAGACTCGTGAATGGACCTAGAGGGCATTATGCTAATATAACCAGTCAGTCTGAGATAGACCAATGCCATGTGATTTCTCTTATATGTGGAAACTAAAGAACAAAATAACGAACAAAACAAACAGGCCTGGGTGCAGAGAACAGCCCATGGTTGCCAGGGGAAGGGGGCTGGAGGGCGGTGAGGAAGGCAGGGCTGAGAAGTAGGGTGGGCAGTTACAGAACTGTCCGGGACGCCAGCCCAGCGAGAAGCAGTGTGGGTAGCACTGGCGGGAACACCAGTTCACTTGGTCGAGTGTCTGTCTGACCTCTGGCGCCACCAACTGAAACTAATACCAAGTAATTATGAAAACAAACGAACTGGAAAAAATCTTAATGAAACATAAAACTTTCAAAAACATGAACCATGACCATTGGCTTTAGCAGCTGGGGCGTGGCGATCCTGAGAAGAGCTGTGTCTGTGATGCCATTAGTTGAGGGTGATTGGCGTGTGTTCAGGGGCAAGCTGGAGAGGAGCGTGGGGCCGGTGAGCAGGCCCTGAGGTTGTGTAGAAGGGATGGGAGAGGTAGGGCGGGATGCCCAGAGGATTGTTAATCCCTGTGGGAGCTCCCACCTGAGGGCAGAACCGAAGGTGCCAGGTAGAGGAGGTTCCTGGGCCGAGTGAGGGTGGGACTGTGTGGTCCCCGTGCAAGGAAGCAGGTGTATATGATGGGGTTATGGGCGTTTTCTGGTGGTTTCTTTTATAGTATTCACTCACTCACTTGTAAAATTGAAAGCAAGGTGATGAGCTAAGAGCAGGGCTGGGGAAGAGGTGCTGGGAATGAGAGGGAGGGTGAAGTGGCCGGGTGGAGAGAGTGCGTTTAGCAGATGCCCTGGGGTCGCCCGCAGCAGGAAAGGCGGAGGCCAGCGAGCGTGCCCGGAGACAGCGAGCATGGGCACGGTGCGGGCTGCCTGGAGACCGTGTGCACAGGAGCCAGGGGAGGTCCATGGGAGAATGCAGAGAGAAAATTGGTGGTAGAATTAAAAACCAGTCAAGGGAGAGGGATAACCAACAGCAACGAAAGAAGGAGGTGGGATGAGTGGCTGATCGCTCCTAGCGGGATGGGCAGTGGGAGCAGCCGCTGAGGAGGGACCGAGAAAGCAGAGACTGCAGCCAGAATTGAGGGGAAGAGGTGAGTGTTCAAGGGGCCTGTTGGGCCTGGGCACCGAGGCGGGACGGCCAGGGCGTAGGGATGTGGGGGGCGGAAGTGAGGTGGAGGCGAACTTGTGTCATGATTTGTAAATCCCAGGTGTAAGAGTCACGCACGCCCAGGCCAGTGCTCCCTCCCCGGGGAGGTGCTTGGCAGGAGGCTGGGTGCTGTGGGGGCCAGCGCGGGAGCAGTCCGGCTCCGTGCCGTCCTGCGCTTGCCGTGGCCTGTGCCTTGTTTTCTCATCTTTAAATTGGGAGGCATAAAACATGCCTACTAATTCAGATTATCTTAAGAGTATATGAGTAAGCAGGGTAACTTCTAAGAAGTCATGCTCAAAAGCTTGAAAGAGGGGCTTGACATGTGGTTTCTTGTTCCCCTTGGATGAGAAGCCCGAGGCAGACACTCAGAGTGCTGTGTGGGCCCCATGAGGTCTTCAAGGTTGGCCCTGCCCTCGGGGGCTTACACCGGTGCTTGTGATTCCAGAGCTGCTCCAGGCGGGCAGTCTCAGTCACTCCTGCCCGGAAGCAGTTGGGCCTCCTGCAAGGACAGAGCGGCGTCAGGAAATCCTGGCGGACGCTCACTGAGGGACAGCAGGTGGCGCTCTCCGCTGCGGCGGGTTCTCATACACGTGTGTGCTCTCTCCCCCGCAGCCGTTCCTCCGCTGGCTGCCAACACCCTGTCGCCATCTCTTGCATTGCTGGCTAACAACCTGTCCATGCCTACAAGTGACCTGCCCCCTGGCGCCTCCCCAAGGAAAAAGCCTCGGAAGCAACAGCACGTGATCTCCACAGAAGAGGGGGACATGATGGAGACCAACAGCACGGACGACGAGAAGTCCACGGCCAAGAGTCTCCTGGTGAAGGCGGAGAAGCGCAAGTCTCCTCCCAAGGAGTACATTGGTAACGGCCGTTGGCACTCAGTGTGTCGGGAAGCTTTCCCAAAGCTGTTTACATAGTCAGACTCCATCATGGCTCACTCACTGGGATTGTACCTCGAGGATGTGGTGAATCCTATTGAATAAAAGGCTAATGTGCAAATGGACCGAACTGCAGAACGACCGGTCACTGGTGCACTGACCACCAGGGCCAGCTCCTGTATTGAGTGTCTGCCCCCTGGTGGTCAGTGCACTCTCCAAGGGGGAGCGCTGCTCAGCCAGAAGCCAGGCTCACGGCTGGCGAGCGCAGCTGCGGTGGCGGAGTGGGTCTACACCGGCAGGCGGATATCCCCCAGGGTTCTCAGACTGCAAGAGAGCACAGGCTGGCTGAGGGGACCCCCACCACCGAGTGCATGGGTTTTGTGCAACAGGCCTCTAGTATGTAATAAGCTACTTAGCATCCTCTCTTTGTCCCCTTTAACAGATGAAGAAGGAGTGCGGTATGTCCCTGTGCGTCCAAGGCCGCCCATTACTCTGCTCCGTCACTATCGGAACCCCTGGAAAGCTGCCTACCACCACTTCCAGCGATACAGTGACGTCCGGGTTAAAGGTTAGCTCCCAGAAACTTCATTGTTAATGCATGGAATTGGTCTCTGACTCGCCTGTATTACAATTACAGAGAAAAAGACAGGTTCGCAAGTTTTCACTTTCTAAAAAACCTTAAGTTTTTGTTATAAAATCTGAAAACTTTAATGTTTTACTTAGACAAAATGTACAGTTGGGTATAAAATTTGGAAAATTACTTTGCCTGAGGAAGCTGTGTCTGCTTTATTGGAAACTCAGTCTAATAAATAAGTGACGACATTGTTCTTGGTAAATTTCATGTGTTCCCAGCTCCTCGGGTGGCGGCAGACGCTGCTCCGCCCGGAGCTGAGGAGGGAGCTGAGCTCCACGCACGCTCAGATGCACGCACATCCTAAGCTCCAGGGAGCTGTGTCTCCCAAAGGACCGCCTTTACCCAGCGTGTGACTCTGGCAGTGGTTCACTCTTGTTGTTGAACGTAAGAACATTTTGATTAACCAACCTGTGATGAAAATGCTGGTAGTGCTTAGTAAATACTGGTGCTGGTAGACGGTAGTGTCCTTGGTCTCGGGTGCGGTCCTCGCACAGAGAAGTGTAAGGTAGCGGAGGCTTGGCCCTGTTTCCCGGGACCTCGTGTAGCCACTGGGACACCCCCCTGAGGGTTTCCTCGGCCTCAAGGCTGGCAGAGTGGGACTGCACTGACTCATCTCTGTGAGCAGTTCAGTCTCTGCAGCAGCATGTCAAACTCACAGGCTCACACAGGCTACAGAAAAACAAAAGCTTCCATTTCCAAAGAAACGTAGGTTTATTTCTATAGAGAAATGCTGACTACAAAGGGCTGAAATAAATGAGTCACCGTTAACATGAAATAATTGAACATTTTAATAAAAATTAATATTTTTGCTTGAACGTTAACTTACTAGTCAATGAATAAATAAATAAACTTGTTTTTCTTGTTCTCCAAAAGCGAAATATTTCCTGTTGTGCACACCAAGTAAGTCAGTACAAGACTAATGACGTGGCCATCGGCTGCTAAAATATTCGCTGCTGGTGTTAGTGGAGAGAAATGGTGCACCTGCACATCAGTCGCATAAGGGAAATGAATGCAACACGATCATAGTAATCAGTCATTAGTGAACGTTGTAGTTTGTTATCAATAATTATGTACAACAGGATATTGTAAAAATTAATTTATGAAATGTTTATTAAAATGTTTCTTACATCACGTTATATTGGCTGGGCTGCAAAAATATTCGTTATGGACTGCATACAGCCCGCGGGCCGTGAGTTTGACATGCTTACTCTAAATGGAAATACAGACATAGCAACATGTTCCAGCTTTTCTTCCTCACGAGTATTCCCTGAGGTTTGAAGAGCAGGTAAGGTTTCCAAAGGCAGAGAGTGTTGGCCTATGAAGGAAGAAGCAGGGTGTGGACCACTAACCTCTCCTCGTGCCAGAATTCCACAGCCTCACAGTGAACCTTTAAAGGGCTCCCTAAGTAACATTTTAAGCCATACTAAAAGATTTTTATTGTTGTTGGGACTCCCCATAACTGTACATCTTCTGTTTGAACATGTTTATATTCATCACCTTTGAACTGCTTTGCCGAAGTTTTAAAATTATAGTCTTAAAAATAAATCAAGATGAAATGTTAAAAATTGATCAGGTAATTCACAGGAAGAAAAGAAAAGCAAGATCAAGAAACCCAAGAAATTCCCTGGCCATTTTGGCTAACTGGTTAGAGTGTCAGCCCAGGACCAAAAGGTCACGGGTTCAATTCCCAGTCAATGGCACATACCTCAGTTGCAAGCTTGTGCAGGAGGCAACCAATTGCTGTGTCTCTCTCACATCAGTGTTTCTCTCGCTCTCTTTTTCCTCCCTCCCCTCCACTGTCTCTAAAAAAACAAACAAACAAAAAAATGGTAGAAAAAATACCCATGGGTGAGGATTAAAAAAATAGAAGCAGCACAGAAAACCAATAATAATGTGGCAGACTTAACCTTACAGATCAATAATTACCTTACCGACTAAAACATATATGATAGAATGGATGGGAAAAGATCCACCTATATTCTGTCTATAAGAAACTCACTTCAGATACGTACATTGACATATGTAGATTGACAGATAAAAAAATATGCAATGGAAAAATTTTTAAAAGCAAGAGTAGCTATATTAATATCAAATAAAAGTAGACCAGAGGAAAGGAAATTACTGGAAGCAAAGAGGGGCATTGTGTGCCATTAAACAATGTAGAGGCAACAAAAACCAAGAGCCTCAGAATACTCTAAGCAAAATGCCGGAACTGGTTCTTTAGGAAGAGGAAGAAGATAAAGATAAAATTATGATCAACAAATACGTAACTATCAACAAGTGAATCTAAAAACCAAGGAAATTAAAAAAAAAATCTGATGAACAATAGTAACTGTTGAATATAATAGAATCAGAGGTATGGAAGAGGAGTGAACTGACGATTCTTGGGGAAAAGGGGAGTGGGAGGCGTGGGAAGAGACTGAACATAAACTGTGCGCCTATGGATGAGGACAATGGGGGGTGGGGAAGGGGCAGAGGGTGGGGTGGGAACCTGGTGGAGGGGAGCAATTGGGGGAGGGAGGGAAAGAGGAACATTTGTAATAATCTGAACAATAAAGATTTATTTAAAAAGTAACACACACACACACACACAATTCCGGAGCTGGAGGAGAGACTGGCGGATGTGCGGTGACGGGAGCGCTTCAGCGCCTCGGTCTCAGCAGCTGGCAGGAGACTTGACAGCACGGATGTGCCAGCAGAGCTGAGCACCATACATCAGCATCTAAGAAATGTGCATACGCACTTGTGAGGACACAGTCTCGTAAGCTCACATTGAGCATGTAAAGACAGACGTGTCCTGGACCAGACAGCAGATCTCCACAGATTTAAAGGCATTGAAATTATACAGATTATCTTCATTTCCTATAATGGAATCACATTGGAAACCAAGAACAGAGATAACGCAAAAACCTCCAAACCATAGAAATTTAAGCATTTAAATTACTTCTAAGTAATGGGTCAAAGAGGAAGTCTCAACGTTTTTTTTTTAAAAATAAAGTGAATGAAATTAAAATGAAGGGTAATCAAAATATCTGGGAGGCAACTAAAGCAGTGTCAACAGGGAAATTTGTAAACTAAATGTAATGTAAATGCTACATTAGACAAGAAGAAACTTCTCCAAGTTCCTACAACAAAAACAACAAAGAGCAACATAAACTCCAAGCAAATAGAAGGAAGAAAATAGGAAAGGCCCCAGGAATCGGTGGAATTGAAGAGGAAGTTGAGCCCCAGCAGTGTGTCCCGGTTGAGTGTTGTTCCAGACACCAAGGCCACCGGTTCCGGTCAGGCTCCGGCCTCACTAATGGACATGCTGGAGGCAACTGATTGTTTCTTTCTCATCAATGTTTTCTCCCTTTCCATTCCTCTCTTTAAAATCAATTTTAAAAATTTTTCTTAAGAGGAAGTTAAATAAAATCAATAAACAAAAACTGGTTCTTTGAAAAAAAATATCAATAAAATCAAATCTCTAAGCAAAACTGAAAAAGAGGAAAATTGGAATTATCAGGAGTGAAACAGTATATTACTACATATTGTGCAGCCATTAAAAGCATCCTATATAATAAAAGCCTATTATGCTAAGTGTTCAGGTGACTAACCAATCAAAGGATAATATGCTAATGATATGCTAAGGCAGCTCAACTGCTTGCTATGACGTGCACTGACCACCGGGGGTAGATGCTCAGACTGCTAGGTTAGCTTGCTGCTGGGGTCTGGCCAATCCTCCCTTCTCCCTCCCCTCCTCCCCTCCTCCCTCCCCTCCTCCTCCCTCCATGGGGCGGTCTGTGGGCCGTGGGGCGGGCTGTGGGGGCTGTGGGGTGGCAGTCGCTGCTAGGTATCTGCCCAGGACACAGTCGCTCCCGGAAAACAGTCCCCGTGCGCTCGTCGCCCCACCCACCCGTGGTCACTGTGGCTCCTTTATTTGTGTGCGGCCCGTTATTCTCCTGACCTAACCCCACCCCACCCACCCCCTCATCCAACACCCCCCTCCTCCCACTCCCACCCCCACTCCTCCTCACTCCCCCCCACCCCCTTTCTACCCCCTCCCCCGCCCCCACCCCGCTACCGAGGCCCCGCTGGTGCTCATCTGGCTCCGCCTGGGAAGCCCGGCGGCCTGTGCGGTGACCGTGCCAGTCCCCTCGGAGGGCCGGCGGCGTGGCCTCCCCTAGGGCGGCTCCCCCAGGGCGGCTCCCTCGGACCGCAGGCTGGCGCTCCCCTGGGAGCGGGATGCTCTGCAGTCACCCCCGTGGGAGGAGCGGGGCTCCTGACGGTGCTGGGGCTGAGCGGCCGGAGGCCCACAGGACCGCCCGCGCACGGGGAGGCCCTCCGGCCCGCTGCTCTGCTCTGCTCTCCTCTCCAAGGCCACGGCCCTGCCCGGGCCCTCTCCCTCCCCTCCCCCCTCCCCCTCTCCTCTCCCTCCTCCCCTCCCCCCTCTCCTCCCCCCTCCGGCCCGATGCTCTGCTCTGCTCTCCTCTCCTCTCCAAGGCCACGGCCCTGCCCGGGCCCTCTCCCTCCCCTCCCCCCACCCCCTCTCCTCTCCCTCCTCCCCTCCCCCCTCTCCTCCCCCCTCCGGCCCGATGCTCTGCTCTCCTCTCCTCTCCTCTCCTCTCCTCTCCTCTCCTCTCCTCTCCTCTCCTCTCCTCTCCTCTCCTCTCCTCTCCTCTCCTCTCCAAGGCCACGACCCTGCCCGGGCCCTCTCCCTCCCCTCCCCCCTCCTGGGTCATGCTCATTGCATGCATACTAGGCCTATGGAAAGTCTTAATAAAATAGTAGCACTTGAATAACATAAGCACTAAGGATTTTAGCTTCCTGAACACTGAGTGCGCTTTCTGTTTTCCGTTCCAGAGGAGAAGAAAGCCATGCTGCAGGAAATCGCCAGCCAGAAGGGGGTGTCCTGCCGAGCCCAGGGCTGGAAAGTCCACCTCTGTGCTGCCCAGTTGCTACAGCTGGTAGGTGGGCTGGGCCTGCCGAGGCGGGCGGCGTTCTCCTGGGCGATTCCACCACCCAGTCGCAATGGCTCAGGGTTTTTGGGGTGCTTTTCCCGTGTCTGCCTCACAGGTGTAACCGATTTAACATACCTTACTCTGGTCTGCTGAACCAAAGCCCAAGCGCGGTAACATGAAATAGGCCTCAGACGGCCACTGTGCGCCCTCCCGCTCTGCTCCCCCGGCACCAGCATGGCCCACTGTTTGCTCGGGGCTGGGCCCGCGCCCTCTGACCCGGCAGCCGGCTCCTGGCCCTGGGCTGGGCGGAGTGTGGCCCACGTGTCCATTGCCTGGGCCGAGGCTCCCCGTCACCGTGAGGGAGGCACCGGGAAGCAGAAGGCTCCATCGCCGGAGTGACGGGCCCGATAGCGTGGCTAGGGTCTTAAGTTGGGGGCGGGGAGCGGGCCGGTCCTGTCCTCACAGAAGCACGTGTGTGCGCCGCATGGACTTGTCCCAGAGGCACGTGCTGCCCTCCTCCGACCTACACACCAGGGTCACAGTTCGATTGCCAGTCAGGGCACCGGCTCGGGTTTGGGCTCCCGATCAATGATTCTCTTATTGATGCTTTTCTCTCTCCCTCTTCCTTCTCTGAAATCAATAGAAATACATTTTTTAAGTGATCCTTAACCTAGCCAGTTTGTTTCAGGGGGTAAAGTGTGAGCCTATGGACTGAAGGGTCCCGGGTTCGATTTAGGTCAAGGGCACATACCTCTGTTGCAGGCTTGATTCCTGTGCAGAAGCAACCAGTCGATGTGTCTCTCTCACATCGATGTTTCTCTCAGTCTCTCCTCCCTTCCATACTCTAAAAAAATCGGCGGGGAACATCCCTGGGTGAGGATTAACCAAAGACAGTTAGCCTTGAATGTGGGTCTGAGGCACAGCAGGCTGTGTGGTAAGTGTTCCTGACCACCTTGGCCGCTTTAGGAAAGGGTGCCCCCGCCCAGACGCCCTCGCGCAGTTTAAAAGGCGGCTGCCCCCGAGCCAAAGCAAGCATTTCTGAGGCCCCCATCCGCCCTGTGTTGCAGACGAATCTAGAACATGACGTCTACGAGAGACTCACCACCCTCCAGGAGGGGATCCTCCCCAAGAAGAAAGCAGCCACTGACGACGACCTGCACCGCATAAGCGAGCTCATCCAGGTGTGCCGCCTCATCTTTCCCCCCTTCCCCTCCCCTCCCCTCCCCCTTTCCCCCTTTCCCCCTTTCCCCCTCCCCTCTCCCCCTTTCCCCCCTCCCCCTTTCCCCCTCCCCTCCCGTTCCCTCCCTTCCCCCCTCCCCCTTTCCCCCTCCCCTCCCCCTTCCCTCCCTTCCCCCCTCCCCCTTTCCCCCTTTCCCCCTCCCCTCCTCTCCCCCTTTCCTCCCTTTCCCCCTCCCCTTCCCCCTCCCCTCCCCTCCCTCTTTCCCCCTCCCCTCCCCCTTCCTTCTCCCTCACCCTCACCTCCCCCTTTCCCCCTCCCCTCCCCCTTCCCTCCCTTCCCCCCTCCCCCTTTCCCCCTTTCCCCCTCCCCTCCTCTCCCCCTTTCCTCCCTTTCCCCCTCCCCTTCCCCCTCCCCTCCCCTCCCTCTTTCCCCCTCCCCTCCCCCTTCCTTCTCCCTCACCCTCACCTCCCCCTTTCCCCCTCCCCTTCCCCTTCCCTCCCTTCCCCCTTTCCCCCCTCCCCTGCCCCTCCCCTCCTTCCCCTTCCCTCCCCTCCCCCTTTCCCCCTCCCTTCCCCCTTCTCTCCTTTCCCCTTTCCCCCTCCCCCTTCCCCCCTCCCCCTTCCTTCCCCTCCCCCTTTCTCCCTCCCCCTTCCCTCCCCTCCCCAGCTGACGGCTGTCTTGTTCCAGGGGAACATGCAGCGGTGTAAGCTGGTGATGGACCAGATCAGCGAGGCCAGGGACTCCATGCTCAAGGTTCTGGACCATAAGGACCGTGTCCTGAAGCTTCTCAACAAGAATGGGACCGTCAAGAAGGTGTCCAAGCTGAAGCGGAAGGAGAAGGTCTAGCTCCAGAGGAGCAGGCGCGGGGGAGGAGCGTGTGAAGGACGGGGGCGGGCGGGCGGAGCCTGAGGCGCAGGCTGGCACCGTGGCCCGCGCTCGCCCGGCCTGCCCTCCTGGGGCGCTGGCCTCGGGGCTGCCTCCGGCATCAGGGCCGGCCGCTGTCCGGTCCGGTGTGTGGCTGTTAAGACTGTCGTGGCTGCCGGGCCGCTGTCCACCGCACCAGGCCTCCCGCCCTGTCCTGCCGCCCCCGCTGGCCGCGGCGCCCCCGGGACTGTCCATTGTCATCTGTCAGAGCCATTTCAAAGGGAAGCTGTCCTGTTGTCCGTCCTGCGTGTCGCGGAGGCCCAGAGCGGCCCGCTGTGCCGCGGCCCCTGGCCGGCTGCGGCGGGGCGCCGGCCTGTGTACACCCCGGACAATAAAGGCCCGCGAGGTTTGTGCACGAGCATCGTGTGGTGTCAGTCCGCGCTGGCTGGGCCGCTGGCGCTCACCGCCGGCCCTCCTCCGGCGCGGGGCTGGGGGTCCTCGGGGTCGGAGTGGACCTCGGGGCGCAGCGGTGGGGGCGGCCTCGGGCGTGTGGGTCGGCAGTTACCTGCTCGGCCGGCCCAGCAGCCTGTCCCTCGCCGGCCTGCGGCTGCGCCTGGAGCCCGGGCCGCGGACAGTCTGCCCAGTGACCGGCCGGGCAGCGCGGGGGGAGGCCTCGGCGTCTGGCCCAGACGCAGACCTGATGACCGGCCTGATGACCGGCCGCGGGAAGCAGACGTCCTGGGGGCCGGCGCGCTCCCCGGGCGCCCGGGCCGAGCCCTGGGAAAGGCCGCCGGGGCGGGCGGCGCTGTGCTGCCGGCGCCCTGGACCTCGTGCACCTGGCGTGGCCGGTGGGGCTGCTGGCGAGGGGCGGGCAGACTCGGGTATTGGGGCGCTGCTTCACAAGCCTGTGTCCCCCCCAGCCCCCAGGATTAGAACCTCATTAAACAAGACTTCCTGCCCTGGCCAGGAGCCCCCCGCAGGGGCCCGCGCAGGCAGGGCCAGTGCCCGTGGCCTTCGCCCGGGGAGGGAGCAGCTGGAAGGGAGAGCGGTGCACTGGCCACGCACAGACTTAATGAGCTGTTTGCGGAGCACCAGCTGCAACAGAACTAACACCCCGAAGGATGCACTTCGGCTTGACGTTTGTTTACACCCACGGAAGCCAAAGCAGAAGGGTAAGCGTGTCTGAGCCGTACGTTTCCTTCCCTGTGACCTCCTGCCCTTACCTGCCTCCCCAGTTCCAGCTCCTGTGCTCTGCCCCTAGGTGTGTTTTCTAGGATGTAGGAATGGGATCACCAGTGTGTTATTTTTTATGGGAAGGAGTCTGACTTTTTTATACAGGGTAATGGAAATTTATACTGAGTTATATTCATGTTGCTAGTTTCAAGAATTCATAGCTTTATTTTTATTAAGTTTATTGAGGTGACGTTGTTTATTGCTTTTTATTGCTGATCAGCGAGCATTCCATCCTCGGGCTGTCCCACAGCTGGGTCCCCGTCACCAGAGAAAGGCACGCTGCTGCTGCTGCTGCTGCTGCTGCTGGGCGTTGGAGTACAGCCCTCTGCGCTTTCTGCTCTGTGGGGCACGCGCTTCCTGTCACCCTCACCCGAGGTCATTTCCCTGCTGACTGCCGAGGAAGTGGAAGGGAGGGGGAGAGAGAAACATCTATGAGAGCCATCTATTGGTTACCGTCCACATGCACTCTGACCTGGGCCAGAGATAAAGCCAGAAACAGACATAAATGCCCTTGACCAAGAATCGAACCCACGACCCTTTGATCTGAGAGCCATTACTCTAACAGCTGAGCCAAACCAGCTAGGGCTTCATACAACCTTTTTTTTCCTTAGCTGATTTTAATAGTATGACTTAAAACCCCTACACTTCATATTATCATTATGCAAAATACACAGACGAATAGTCTTAAAAATATAAAATAAATAAGCAAGACATGAAAATAGACAAGTTTCCATTAAAATAAATGAAAATTTTTTTACAAAAGATAATTTTGCCTGAATATCTTTTTGAAGAAGAGAAATATCATTTAAACAATATTCAAGTTTGTTAAGCAAGTTTTTAAAGTATTATAAAATATTTAACTTTTTTTTCATTTTTTCTTAAGTCTTTATTGTTCAGATTATTACAGGTGTTCCTCTTCCCCCTCCCCCCAATATCTCCCCTCCACCTGATTCCCCACCCCACCCCATGCCCTTACCCCCACCACCGTCTTCATCCACAGGTATAAGATTCTTGTCCAATCTCTTCCCTCACCCCTCAGACCCCTTCCTCCTGAGAATTGTCAGTCCAGTCCCTTTCTATGTCCCTGATTCTGTTGTATTCACCGGTCCATTTTGTTCTTCAGATTTTTTATTCACTTGATTTTTAGATTCACTTGTTGGTAGGCATGTATTTGATGTCTTTTAGGTGTTCATGGTTTTTACCTTTACCTTTTTCTTCTTCCTCTTCTTAAAGAATACCTTCAACATTCATGTAATCCTGGTTTGGTGGTGATGAACTCCTTTAACTTTTTCTTGTCTGTGAAGCTCTTTATCTGACCTTCAATTGTGAATGATAGCTTTGCTGGGTGGAGTAATCTTGGTTGTAGGTTCTTGTTGTTCATCGTTTTGAATATTTCTTGCCACTCTCTTCTGGCCTGAGAAATCAACTGACAGTCATATGGGTATTCCTTTGTAGGTAACTAGCTGTTTTCCTCTTGCTGCTTGTAAGATTCTCTCTTTGTCTTTTGCCCTTGGCATTTTAATTATGATGTGTCTTGGTGTGGTCCTCTTTGGATTCCTATTGTTTGGGGTTCTGTGCGCTTCCTGAACTTGTAGGTCTGTTTCTTTCACCAGGTAGGGAAAGTTTTCTGTCATTATTCCAAAAGGCCTTCAATATCCTGCTCGCTCTCCTCTGGCACCCCAAAAATCCGGATGTTGGTACGCTTTAAGCTGTCCCGGAGGCTCCTTATGCTATCCTCACACTTTTGGATTCTTCTTTCTTTCTGCCTCTCTGGTTGGGTGATTTTTTTCTTCCTTATATTCCAAATCTTTGGTTTGATTCTTGGGGCATGTTTATCCATAGTTGAGTTTCTGTATATTCTGTATTTCAGAGATTGTATGCTTCATTTCTGACTGGCCTCTTTCCATTTTTTTTTGGTATTCTCTTTAAGGTCCTTGGAGGTCTCATCAAGTTTCTCAAAGGTTTTTAGAAGATTCTTGAGTAATCTTATAAATGTGATTCTAAACTCTGTGTCGTTCAGTAGTTTACTTTCCTCCATTTTTCCCATTCTTGACATGTTTCTGTGTCTCCTCATTTTGGCTGATGGAGTGGCTTTGTGTGGTAGGTGACCTATAGGGGCCAGTAACTTAGCTTCCCCAATCACCTGAGGTGGTTGCTTCTGCTATATCCCTTTGTGGGCTGAGTGCAAAGTCTTGGTGTAATTAGCCTTGTTTGCTGTTGGTACTCTGGGAGGAATTGATCTCCAGGCCAATTGTCTGTGAGGACCTGCTCTGTCTATAAAGGAAGAACTGCTGCACTGGAGACACGCTTTGTTTCAGTGGGGCTTTGGTGCTCACTGAGACCGCCTCCCGAATGTGTCACTCATGGGTGTGAGGGGTTGAAACTGAGCACTAGGAACACTGGTTCTGGATCTCCAGTGGGTGCGGTTCAGCTACTGCACCCTGCAGGAGCTACAGCGTGAGCCACAGTCCTCTCCTCCTTTGCTAGGTTAAACTGCAACTGAGAGGGCCATTCATATGCAAAAGCTGCTGCTTGGAGCTTGGCGTGTTGTGAAGGGCCGAGTCTCAAGGCGGAGTCTCTGGGTGTCACTAGGCTGGGGTGTGGCCAACAGCAATGGCTGCCTGTCAGCCACCTCTCCAATCCGCGTCCCTGCAGCCCCACGTCTCCCATGTCTCGTACCACAGCACAGTAAACAAAAATTCCTGCGTGCAGCTCTGCAAGCCAGCCAGCCTCACTTTCCGACCCGATGGCAGACAGTCTGGCTTCTCCCCAGAAACTGGATTTCAGAGAGATTGGGAGCTTGTGTCTCTTCGGGTTGAAGAAAGCCCTCTGACAATGCCCTCCGCCAGCCGGGATCTGCTGCCAGCCCATATCACGTCTGCGCCCTCCTACCTCAGTTTTTCAGCGCTGTGCCCTGAATTCTTTTTTTCTTTCAGCCTAGTTGTAGGGCTTCCTTTCAGCCCGATTTCCCTTGGGTTTAGGGTGATAGATGTTTTATTTTATAGTTGTATATTTGAAATTGTTGTGCACGGCAGCAGATTACCTATGCCGCTATCTTCGTTCCTCCAAATATTTAACTTTTTATTCATATTTTTTAATTGATTTCAGAGAGAGAGATTGAAACATCAATAATGAGAATCATTGATCAGCTGCCTCCTGCACACCCCCTGTTGGGGTTTGAGCCCGCAACCTTGGGAATGTGCCCTGACAGAATTGAGCCATGACCTCCTGGCTCATAGCTCAATGCTCAACCTCTGAGCCACACTGGCGGAGCAAAATGTTTAAGTTTTAGCATCAGCAAGGTCTATATTGCTCCCCAATTTTTTCATATAAACAACTTTCAAAATTGCAACGCCCGCTGAGCTGGGTTCTAAGGCATCGGGTTCTAATTGAAAAATTGTCTTTGCATCTTCTAACATTTCTGTGGTGCTCTGAAGACCACCGATGTGATAACATGTCATTAAGCATCGCAGGGTTGTGGTCTCTGGAAAGCCACGTGGCCGATCAGTGCTGAGGTTCCCAGTTTAGGGTGGGGGAGACTCCAGTGGTTTAACTGGACAGCACACTGTGGGCAGCTCAGGCCCCCGGGGGGAGGGTCACAGTTTAGCTCCAGTGAGCCAGCTCGGCCCATGTGGGAGGGACAGCTCCAGCACCCTGGGGGGTGACCAGGTCAGCCAGAACTGGAGGGATGCTCTGTGGAGGCCCAGGTGAAGTACAGAGTGCCCGTCCCTGTCCCTGATTGGTCCACT